TGGGTGCTTTAAAATAGATATATTGTACAGATTACTCCCCGAGGCATGGGAAAGTAGCAGTTGCACATGCGAGACATTCTTCCAACTTTCTCCAAGGGCAGGTTTAGAGGATCCTCCTTCTCCACCCACCATGTGATTAGTCACCTGAAACAATTTTGCAGCCACATTAACATTGTGTCGACATAAAGCTTAAATGTACAGTCAAAATCATTTTTTCGCAGAGATGCTATACAATGATATTTGTGCCACCATAAGTCATAGTCAGAAAACATTAGTTTAAAATCCCAATTAGCTCATCTAGAAAGCACTACAGTCCTCTGAGAAAGAGACAACAAATCCGACCAACGGAAAATGGATCATGTGGCAAAACTTGGTGACATATGTATCTAAATTCGATAACTTATCATAATATTTTGATATAACAAAGGCCACAGCATTCCCATGGAAATTGAAATGCCACTGCTGAATGAAAACTTGTAGTAGATTCATTTGAAATGTCACTGAAACTGTCTTTGGATTTGTATGCTCCTATATTTAGAGTAGATAGAACTCAGTGACATATAAGAGCATACAAGTTCTTGGCACACCAGAATACCATGTCAAAGAAGTGCCATCAACATTAAAATTTGGAAGACATATTAATTACATAATAACTTAAGTGAGACTAAGTTGCTGTGCATTTAGCAGCAAACCCAACCATGTGTTAGATGCCAAAGTACAAAATTTTTGAAGAAGGAAGTGACTATGATCTTGAGTGCTCAACTTACCAAGACAGAGAGATCATGCTCATGCACTAACTTCTTCAGAAGAAATCCAGCAGAAACCATCAACGAATGTCCTGCGTTTTTACAAAACATGAACCCCATCAATTCAAGCAGGAAATCCTTGTACAGATTTGAAGCACCTTACTGCAAGATCAATAGTACACAAATAGCAGTATACATACAAGGACATGTACCATGTGCACCGCCTCCTAGGATTGGGGTTATGAGAGATGAGATGGAATCAATGATAAGAAGACGTAGTTTACAGTCATCGGTCTTTACCTGAACATGTTTGCTGACAATCGATAACATGTATTGGTAAAACTAAAATCCTGAAACAACATAAAAGAGTTCATGAATCATACAAAACCTGTGTCCTTAATTTCAACTCGAGACAATGTAGTAGATCCAACAATCCAAATATGTCAAACACCGAATGACAGGAAACGTTACTCATAATTCTTTCAAGGGTTTTATGTTTGGCCTGCATTAAAGCAGAGATAAGTATGAAGAAAATAAAACAAGGGAACTTACACACAAAAATGGGTATGTGTGTGCTTCTTAAAAATTATGATTAATTTTTTATAGTAACTACAGAATATAGATTGTGAGAATATCCTATGTCAAGTTCCGGAAGAAGAAAATGGTCAGTCTAATAACAATTTCAGGTTCTGTTGACTAATATAATTTATGAGTTACTAAAATTCTACATGCATGTCAATGCCAACTATGAAAATGCAGGCTCTTGCTTTCAGAAAAACCGTTGCTGTTGCAAACCAATTTCGGAATTGCTAGTTCACAACATGTTGCATTCGCAAAAATCAGACAAAAATAAAATAACAATAATCACAAATGGTGGACGACCTCATTTCACGCATACAAAATGCATTGAGTTAATATATTCCGGACCCCAGATTTCACGTCAAGAAAATCCAAGCGAATATGAACTGCTTTGTATAAATAATCACGTACGGAGTCGTTAAAAATTTATGGAAAAAAACCCAAGGGA